AAAAGTTATTAATTTTTGGTAACGGCGACATTTACATATACAGAATACAATTAATGTTTAGTTTAGTATTTGTTTCCAAAAAAAGTGTCTAGTTGTATAAATTTATATACAGTGTTTGCTAAACTAAGTAGGTGTACAGTACAACTAGCGCATATTATTTTTTGCACTTTAAATACTTGGCAAACTTTTGTGACATCTGCTCAGAATTCATAAACGAATTTTGGTTAGCGATTTATCAAGCTGATGACAATCTCAAAGCATTTGTGTTAAATTTCGCAGCATTTATTTGGGAGTTTCTGAGATAAATTTTACTCTTTGGTTGTACAATTTTGAATGTTGCCCCAAAAATATGTGTCTAATAAAATCGCCAACAGATAGACGACATACAACAGACAGACGGAAACGGAAGATAGACAGTTTTGTATTGTAAAAATCATGAAACGCCGAGAAACATAAATTAGCCATTTGTCAAATTAGCTCATTATCGTTCTTCTTAAAACTGTCAGACTCATGAACATGATGCAACGGTTTTTACACAATTTTAATACGTTAATTTGTTTGAGATTTATGTCTATGAATTTTTATTTAAGCTACCTTTTGCTTTTAGTATGCTATGTAAGACAAACGCTTTTTATTTCTGTTGCAAAATAGTTTGTGGCTCATAAAAAAATCTTTTTGGTAATGTTTGAATTTAATATTTATTATCACGATTCATTTGTTCAATTTTAGACAACAACTAAAGGAGATGAATATGCCGAATATGCCGAATATGCTGAATAAGCGGGATAGGCTGCGGCATAGGGAGACACATATCCAGCAGAATAAGCAAGAGGTGCGGTGTAGGCAGAGGTGTAAGCTACAGCTGGAGCAGCAACAACTGGGGCGGTGTAGGCAGCGGCTAGTACGCCAGGTTTTGCCTTCGGATCTGCCTTAGCCTCGGGGGCTGCGAAAGCGACACTGAGGAGGGTGATGAAAACGAACTGAAAAAAAAACAATATACATGTATAGGTACACAAATACAATAAATAAAGCAATATGCATATGCATATAAATATTCTACAGCTAGTTACTTATAAACAGTTGGAAAGGTTGAACATGAATGCATAACATAAATCATACAATATTTCTTTATGTGTTATGTGTATATGAACAAATATAACAAATAAAAAAGTTTATATGCATTGATATTTTTGGGATGCAATTTAGTATTTAGTGGATACTTACGAGTTTGAACATTTTGGAAGTTGTTGTTTGTTTAACTGATGGTGTATGTTGTGTGGTTCCCTTTTTATACAGTAAAAAAATATACTATGGTGATAAGTGGGGTGAATGCAAATTCACTTTCCATTTTTATGTCGTGCTTATTAGAAGTCAGATCATGTTTTTGCAGTAAGACAGGTGTTCCGTAATTCGACCTAGGCACCTATAAATTTAAACAGACTTAAAAAATGCCCTTGTTATTTTAAATTTTTATTAAATTTAAAAAAAGAAGGATTCACTTTTTCATTTTTTTATTAGCTTAAAAAAATGATTTTTTTTGTAGTATGTATGTGGTGTTTTCGTTTAGTAACGTTGACGGAAATCATGAAACCGTTCCTCTCATTCTCAAAATTATAAAGCATGAATAAAATATGTTCAGGATTTGACAAAAAAAAACTACAATAAGTACAGTAAACGCGATACATCAAAAGTTATTTGAATTAGAGAAAAAATATTGGCTTTTTGGTTTGGAACAAATTGTATAAAGACAATATTCAACGTTTAAAGAAGTTAACTCGTCATATTAGAGTTTCCAAGAAGGATTATGCAGGTTAAAAATAAAAGCAAAATGGGTTAATGTAGTAAGTTATATAACGCAATTTTTAAATCAATCTCCACTTATAATTTTAGAACCGCTAGAGGTACAGCTTTGAAATTGAAAGCCCAGTAATCAAATGAAGCTGATAATCTTTACAACGACGCTTTGTGCCCCTGAAATATCAAAACTATCACAAGTAGGTAAATTTTTTTAAACAGGTAATATGAACCTCTTGGACTTCTTGACCGAAGTAAAACTTGTTATCTGCTTTATTTTAACTATAATTGAAAAAAATTCGTATTAAGATAGGTAACAAGGTCGTGTAATTTACCGATTGTGTCAAGAACTAACCAAAATTATTGATTTATACTTTTTTGTATTGATGATTTTCTTAAACTCTGGTATCAGATTTAGAATGATATAAACTTTCAAAAGCAGAGTCATTATGCCATTATTTTTTTATCTAGTCATAGTTTTGACATTTTAACAGCATAGCACATCACTATAAGTTTTAAATTTAAAACTGTATAGTCTTCCACAAGATGAACCGTTTTTAAATTGATGAGTAAACAAATCTGAGATGCAGAGGATTAATTAATAATTAATCCTACCTAAAATAAGCAGGATATTATGACCCTATGCTTGTGCTTTATCAATGCATTAAGATTTTTTAGAATTACTTGTGACTCAAAAAAAATAGTGAATCAGGCAATATATTTTTATTGATCAAATCAGGAACGGCTCATCCCATTTTCCCTAAGATTTGAACATACAGTGCTGTTGATATTAAGATTACACTGCACATATTCAAATTAATATAATACGTGTCTAAAATGTTGATGACGTCGTTACTGGAAACACACGGATAACATGTTTGTTTACCTGCACTTTAACTGTCCACACAGTTTTATTTTCAACGTATAGGGATTATCACAAAATATAAAATTCGCAAAAATATTTCTGAGAAGCTGCATTTGTTCGCCTATCCTTCAAGGGCGAGGGAAGTACTATCTAAATAACCAATTTTTAAATGTGTATTTTTAAATGTATTTGTAATCTATGGATCAGGAGCGACAATTTAATCTAGAAACATTAATTAAATTAGTTAAGGTAATTGGATAGCTCCTGGTATTTTTAAAATGAGAGTAAGATTTGCAGTTCAATTTGTTAAGGTTCATATGACATAAAACTGATTTGTACTAGGCCTAAATATGTTCAGAATTTCAGAATGTTTTCTTATTATGCCAAATTTGACCCTTGTTACACACAATGAATACAAATTATAATTGTTTAGACAAATATATATATTCCAAAATTACACACACAATACCGGAGCAGATATAGCTGCGAACAACAACCCCAAGTATTAGAGATGTAAAATATAATTCCTCTTGATTGTCGGTATTCAAATCGACTTTCACTAGGTAACGTAATTGTTGAAATCGTTCCAATTACTTTTCTAATCAATACTGTAAATACGTAGTACGTAGCAAAACTTTTTAAGTTTTAGCAGTGATTAAAAAAATATTCTTTAAAACAAAGAAGAATATTTAAATATTTAAATAACTTATAAAAAAATACAAATGTCTGTATACGCACATTAAATAGTATAAAACATTCTGCGTAAGATTTTATTTAAAAAGGGGCACCTACGTCACAAATTCGACTAAGTACATGAAGAACAAAACATAAGTGTAAGTATTCAGATACTAACGTATGTGAGCCCTGCATACTCTCTCTCGACTCTTTCCGATATTAGAGGGAATCGATACCATATTCAATTATTCTTACACTTTCTTGCTAAACATTATCTAATTTTTAAATAAAATTGCAACTATTTGTAATATATTTAATTTCAAAATACAGGATGTTTAAAAATTGTGTTTGTAATGATAAGTGTTCTCATGTCGGCCGTTTCCAATTTCTGACAAAATCTGCCGAAACTCTACCAACATTTCTTGCTTAAAGTAAACTTCTTGTGGAATACAATATTTTAAAAGTTTGTCCACCCGTCTGCAGTAGATTATCTTCTATAATTTCAAATATAAATCAAAGTCCAAATGTCTTTATTCTATTTTTGCATGCTTAAATGGAACCCTTCAAAATGAAGTTCAGTTTTTGAATATTCCGAAATTTTGAGAAAACTTATTATTTTCTTCTCGTTTCTCGACAGTCAGTCTCCTCGTATTTTGCGACATATTATTCACTAGTACATTGAACTGCACTTTTATAGTACAGTGTATTTTTTTGTTTTCTCTTTTTCTTTAGAACTTTCTTGAAACACGGTTGATTACCTTCTATATTCAACTTTAGTGCTATACTGAGTCAACATGCGTTTTATTTTCATGTACTTTCGGTATGAATTTTTTTCAAGAATACCCTCGATTTAGATGCTTTACTTAGTTTTTCATTGAACTTTTATTTTGCAGTGGAATCAGAATTCTTTTTCCTTTTCCTCGTTTTTTGTAAACCCTATGTTACTACTGACATGATTTGTGACGGAGGTTTTTGTTAGTGATGGCAGAAATTCAAACAGTTTAACAACTTTTATTGCACACCATTCTAATTAATTACCACAAATTTTAACAATTACAACCCTGCTTCTTTGACAATTAACAATCGTTTTCTTTCTCTATTTGCGTCTACTACCAAAATGTTCTGGATAAGAAATTGTTTTTAAAACTTTACCCCTTTCTGTTCTCCCTTTTTGAGATTCCCATAAGCACTACTTTCCCGACTTCACCATTTGTAGTATTCAGTCAAAGTTTTCTTGCTTAGTCACTAAAAATTCCAAAAATTGGATTTATTAGAAAAGAAGGTGGTATGTCACATGGAGTTTTTTAATGGATTATTTTGGTTGCCTTCTTATAATGGACAGAAAAAATTGTATCACAGTCACCATCAAAGAAAAAAATCATAATTTTCACCTACTGTTTAGTTTGATGAAAAAAAAAACATATTCACCTAAAACATGCACTTAAAACGTACAAAATTCTTTTAATTGTACTTTGTGTTTCAGAAAAAATAATAATAGTAAGTACTTGTTATGATTTCTAATGACTAGCTGTGGGTCAGTGTTGAATTCTTAAAAGGTTCGTTTAGTTGATTAGAAGGTTTATTACTCACCAGAGTAGAATATTAATTATTTTATTCAGTGTCAGAGTATACCTACGTCATTTACATCAGCAAAAATACTGACTGAAATTCAGCTTGACTGTAATATAAAAGAGACCTTATGCTAAATGTTGTTAGTTCTTAACAACAAAGCCTGCCTGTAACAGTACCAAAAATTGCTGCAAACATGTTGAAATTGGTAAGTTATTCGTTATTAATTATTATTATTAATAATTGTAAAATATTTTCTATTGTTGATTCACTGGTAATGACACATTCGTAATTTATTTTAGTGCTTTGCTGCTTCCGTGATTTTGACTGTGGCGTTTGCTGCACCGGTTGCTAAGCCTGTTGCAAATCCAAATCCAAAACCAACGTTTTATGCAGCGAGCTACTCCGTCCCAGCAGCTCCTGTAGCTGCTCCCATAGCATACACTGCAGATCTAGAAACTCCTTTTGTTTATGCTGATGATTATTATGAACCTGTTTATTACAGTGCTTATGCGGCACCTTTAGTGTATGTATGAAAAACACATGTTTAAATAAAATATTTATTATGTTTCAAATAAAACTGTTAATATGAAACTACTTTGAAATGTAAGTAAATATTTAATTAATTGTTATATAAAAATATATATTTAATTTTGGCAGTGTTGAAATTTTTTCGCCAATGACTAAAATATGGTCAGAAAAATACTGTTTATCAAGACATGATAAACCATTTAAACTAGCAGAAGTGAACTCTACAGTTAATTGAAGCAAATTTTTAGGTTGATACTTGTGAAGTATTGGTCTGAATGGCAACATATCACAGTTGTTAATTTTGATATCAGTACAGCTAAAAATACCAATGAAAAAATGAATGGCCGTTACTGAATTTGTACCCAAAATTTGCAACTGACTCAGGTATGCTATCATAAAATTCTAAAATAATTCTAATTATGTTGCTAACCTGATAAAAAAATCACAAACATTAATAATCACTCAGTATTATTATTATTAGAGAGCGGAAAATATGCAGCAAAATTTTGGCAAATATGATCATATGATATGCACTAAATTTATGCAAATATGCAGTAACTTTCTTAATATATGCAGAGATATGCAGTTGCATATGCTCCAAAAATTAAAAAAGAACGTAATAACCAAACTAAATTTATTTACAAATTACAAAAATAGGTTTCCCGAGCTTACGTTGTATTACAAAAAATACATAAATCACATTGCAAGGTGTTTGATTACATCTCACTAACACATAAATCACATTTTTAAAGGTAATATTCTTATACTCAAAAATAAATATAAACAGAACAAATTAAAAAATAGCAGTAATCGACTATTTAATTACTGTTTTGGTAACAATTTATTTTTGAATATTTTTCGAATATTCTAACAAAAAGTTTTCCCGTGATTTTAAAGTATGTATTTGTAAATAGAAAAACTGCATACTACGTCCACAGATGTAAAAATAGAGCAGGCGCGACAAAACACAGCTCGTTCTTGAAGAATAAGTTCAGGAAAAGGTTTAATACATAAATTAATTTAAGTTATCTTTGACATATTGATACACCTGTATTACTTTAAATGCTTTCAATGCAAACTCACGATGAAAAATAATAGGATAACGTGCCTTCGACCACCATAAAACACACCATTAATACACTTAAGTAACGAACAAAAGTTTGGGAATGAACCGTATTTCCAAAAGTAATTAGGGCCTGAATTTACCTGGAAGGATGGTTTAACACCCAGTGATTTCTCCAAACTACCATATAACCCAAACATTTCCTAGTTATTTGAAGCTCAGGAGAATATTTGCAATGATTCATGAAATTTCGTCTTTCTAGTTAAATGCCAAAAAAATGACAATTTTTTTTTAAATTAGCACAAAAATTGATAAATATGCAAAATATGCACCCGTTACGTGAAATATGCAGCAGAAGGCAAATATATGCAAATATGCATTTTTTTTATAGCTGTATTCGTTTTTAATTAGCATGATTCGTTCACATACTAAATATCAAGACTTATATGCAAAAAATAAAGGATATGCAAATTTCATAAAATCCGCTCTCTAATTATTATTATTACACTTGCAAATTTAAATATTACAGCACGACATAACGTGCATTCTTTAGACAGTTATCTTCTTTTCTAAATAAACTCGTACGATCTAAGTGGTGCAAATATAAATGAAAATCTTGGTACTTTAATAGTACCGCGATTAGTGCAGACAGCTGAAGCATGTCCAGTTTGTGTGTTTCTACTTTTGCGCCATAAGTTCTAAACAATGAAGACAAAAAATGGAATAGGTTAATACAAACTAAACAAAAGAAAAAAAAGAAATCAATTCATCTAAATCTGAATTACGAACTTTATAGTTCGTTAGTTAGGAACTTTGACTAATACAACTTGAATACAACGTTTATCCCTATGACACCGAAAACACACAAAATATTTGTCGACGCGTTTCGCCAACCATGTTGACAAAGCTTTGTCTATACGATGCCAACTTGCTTGGCGAAACGAGCCGACAAATATTTTGTGTGTTTTCGGTGTTCAAATGATCAAAAAGTTTCTAACACAACTTTGACGGTAGATATCTTTTAGACTGGTGTTTGCAACTCCATTTTTATTATCACAAAAATATGAGCATAATTTATAAATAAAAGGAATACTGACTTTTTTACCTCATCAAGAAATCGACGGGTATCAAACCGTGTGATTTTTTCATTTAAAGATCTAAAAAATATTACAAACCCCATCACCCCAGGAGCTGTTTGTCAATACATATTTTTGTACAGCATATAGTCAGTCGGTATTGAATTTGCCAGTAATTCGGCATTAAAAATTTCAATGAATTACCTAGTTTCCGACGTAAACTAAAATTGTGATTCAAATATTTCTTTTTGACTTGAATTTTACTTATTAAAATTTTTAAGATGTCACTAATTTTTCGAAAAGAATAAAAACACAAATTTTGTGGCACTCATTATTATGGTACTTACAGCACCACACAACTACCCTTTGAAATTTATAAATCTAATAATTATAATGTAGTTATTAATAAAAACATGCACTTACCTGGTCTTTAATTTTTATCACGGTTAATTTATTGTTATAAAAATAATATGGCCTCTGGTACTTGTGAAAACCATATAATACATTAATGAAGTAAGTAGGTAACACCACACAGTGAACACTTATTGATGATACATGTAAAAATTTCAAAACAATTCTTTTTGTTAATTTGTGTTGCAGTTTTATTTATCAACCCGTGCATACCTTATGAACACTTTTCAGTTAAATTACTGCAAACGTTTGTCAAAAACGAAACCGTATGTAATTTACTAGTAATTAAAAAGAATGTTCTTAATTAAAGGGTAAAGGAAAACTAATATTCTGTTTAAATATTCCACCAAGAAAATTTCGATTTTCGTGCTTAGTCGTCTGCTATATAATTAAGGTTTCTTAGTAACTTTAATTACTGTCTTTAAAGTACATTTTGTTAACTACACTAAAATTGATAATCCGAAGCTTAAACAAAACCCCTAATTATATATCTACAAATCCTCAAAATTAAAAAGCGGCGTGGTTCTCTTGCAACTATACTTAAATATAAGGCTAATTAATTATTTACTATTTGTGTGTCTGTTGAAAAGTGAACAAAAATATCAGATAATAACTTTTTTGATAGGTACGTAAACTCGTAAATATAAATTGCAATTTGCAACTGCAGATTCAATAGGAAAAATTAAAATAAATATTGTGACAGTTTCCAGACAACGTACGTCATATAATCATTAGTTTATGACCATTGACCACAAATTCAGTTTACAGTAATAGATTGTTAATATAACCGTGAATATGAATATAATGATGTAGGTATATTCAAATCAATTTATTGTAATTTCTGATGTTTACTGAATGAAATGCACTTTTATGTATTTTCTTCTCGGTTATTACAGTGTTTCAATTTATTAAAAATTAAATTAAAAATGTACAAACGCAATAAAATTTTCAGTCATCGATTAATTCCCTCTACTTTTTACTTTACTGATACATTCACTGCGCAGGTAGGATAAATTAAATCTTATTGGACGACTTAAACACTTCAACACATAAAATTCTTAAATTGTCCACCAACTATCCACTTCTGCTATAGATATCATCCGTATAAAATGTATATTTTCTAGATACTGCGACTGTATTATTTTTCGAAGTCAAAGTTTTCCAGACAGTAGGTACATAGTTACTTACTAGTGAATTGTTTCTTCGTTATTTTTAGTAGTACTCGTATGTATCACATTTTAATTAAATAATTTTTCAGTACGTTTCGCAACTTTATATACGTTTGCAATAAAAGATATGGAAAAATTCGATTGGAAAGGAACAATTAAAATAAATATTTTTCTTCTAAAAATAGTGGGATTATGGCCTAAAGGAGACGAAGTATACAAATGTGATCTTTACACCTGTTATGCTATAACCTCGACAACACTGTTTACAATTTGCCACAATCTACTGCAAACTATAAACCTATTCTTTATTTATAAAGATTTAGAAGCACTAACTGCAAGCATTTTCATTGCTTTAACTCAGCTGCTAGCTATATTGAAATCGTACTACTTAGTTCAAAACATGGGTACACTCAAACATCTCATGGTTACTTTGAATAGTAACATGTTTCAACCTAAAAATCTCGAACAAAGAAGACTGATTAACCCAAATCTTGAGGCTTGGAAATTACTTTTTAAAGTTTACTGGGGTAATGCCTGTTGTACACTTCTCCTTTGGGCTATATATCCGATAATGGACGGCTCTGTCAGTCAACATAGGTTGCCCTTATTGGTGTGGTATCCTTACACCACAGAAAGTTCACCACTTTATGAAATTACGTACATTTATCAGCTGATGTGTTCCTATTTTATTTGCATCATTAATATTAGCGTTGATACTCTTATTGCCGCTTTAAATATGTATATTGGAGCTCAGTGCGACATATTATGTGATAACTTGAAAAATATAAATCATCATATGGGTACTGTGAATTCTCAGTGGAGAAAATGTATAGCCCATCATAAGGAAATCCTAAAGTAACGTAACAAAGATTAAATTTTAAGTTCTGTGATCTATTTTATATTTTTAGGTTTGCTGACAATTCCCAAAAATTTTTCAACTGGATTGTTTTAATACAGTTTTTTACAAGCGCCGTTTCAATTGCATTTACAATGTTTCAATTGACTGTGGTTAGTATAAACACTGTAGTTAACGTATATAATGTTTTATTATAGTTTATTTAATACTGGTGTTCATTAAAAAAATTTCTCTCAGCTAACCACAAGCTGAAGAAACTGCTATGTAATAAGTGCAACATGAAAATAAATAGTGAATAGTACTTTGTTAATGAAATTGAATTTAAATTAGCACATTCTGATTTAATATCTTGGAGAACCGGGAGAAATATTTTACATGAACACTGAATAATACAAAAATTAATAACTTTCACGGAAAATATACAATAACTAGGTCAGATTAACAAATGACATACACAAAATTTTCATTTTCTTTCACACTTACATTACTTTAAACAAGCCTTTCATTTATTTTTAGGTGGCTCCATTTTCAAGCGAATTCTATTCGTTTATATTCTATTTGTTATCTGTCACAGTGGAAATTTTCATGTATTGTTGGTTTGGAAATCAAGTTGAAGTTAAAGTAAAATTAAGAATCAATTTTAAAAATGTTTCAACTAATAGCACTTTTAATTCTAGAGCAGCAATATTTGTTATGCGGCTTTCGAATCACAGTGGGTCGAAGCAGATGAAGACACTAAAAGTATTATTTTGTTTTTTAATCTGAGGTGCCAGAACCCCATCAAAATGTCAGCTTTAAATTTGTTTTATTTATCATTGGACACGTTCATGACGGTAAGTATTACAACAATGTTTAAAGAGAGTAATAGTATATTACATAACGAGAATAGTAAACATAGGGGCGAGTGCAGTAATTTAACGAGTGCGAAATAGGCGTTTGCTTTCGAGTTATGTACTATACTTTCTCTACGACCACCAAAAAAAGCACATTTTACCAAAAAAGGTATTCCATTTTATTATAATAATTAACATACTACGCAACATTGAATAAATAGCCCATGAGGACGATGCTTTAAACTGTTTCGAAATTTCGCCAAACTAAGCGAGAACAACATTCTCAGAAAACGATTTCACTTTGTTCTTCAATTTCTAGTCCATAAAATTGGTATAGATTATTTCATATCGCTTTTTAGATTTTGCTGCCTCATTAAGTCAATATCATTTGTCGACAATATTTGGTGGTGTACAAACAATTTCGGAATCTGATTCAGATGACATTATGTTGTTGTAGTAATAGCAAAACTCACAATCCACAAAATACCTTCTCTAGACTTTTCTCTAACGTAACTTTTCGATTTTGTCAACAAAAGTCAAACGCGCAGGCCTGCCACTATGAATATACTAAAGAAAAAAGTTCCTATCTGCAGATAAAAAAAGGATTAATTTAATACAAAAAAATTGGTCTAAAGAGTTTAGACAGTACTTCCCTCGCTATCGGAAACTTGACGACTGCATGCCTATTGTGTTTTTTTTTCTCATTACATTTTTGTAGTGGGAATTTAAAAAAAAATTGTGATGACGTCATCAACATTTTTGCAAGGACACGTATATCAGTTGAGATAGATGTAGTGTAATACTAAGAATAAAATTATTGTATTCCCAAATTTTCGGGAAAATGAATTGGGTCGTTTTGAATATTGATTTTTTATAATCAATAAAATAACGAAACAATTTACTCACGTATACGGCGCCGGTGTGTAATATCTAGAGAGCGGATTTCTGTCGGGTTAGGCAAGGCCAAACTCGGTACGGCTCGCACGGGATGCGAATTCATTGCCGTTGCGGACTGCACTTCGTTTATTTGAGATTAGAATAACGTTGTTTCGTTGCACTCTGCTGTTAATTCCCGTTCTCATTTACTTAGCCGTTTGATTAATAAATCGTTAATTATATTTATGGAATTAGCACCGATTAAACGTGACGTAGCCCGACAAAAATCCGCTGTCTGGTAATATGAAAGGAACTGAAAATCGTTTATGTATAAACATTCTTAATTTAAGATGACAAGCGTAACAGCATACGTGAGAGTCAAACAGAGAAACTGTAAACAAAACGACCATCGGTTTTATTGCTTCGACTTCCGCTTATTATATAAAACATTGGGTTTTATTTTAATTCTTGACGGTGAAATTCACAATTGGTTGATTATAAACATGTCTATTCCACATTCGCGGAACCAAGTGAGCGCATAAAACAAATGCAGGTCTGTAATGTTAAAGTCGATGTAAATAAGCGTGCTACCCTTATGTTTCAACCGAGTTTTTCCTTTAACAAATTTTGTGTCTACCAAATTGGGTTGGTTGGGGTGTAATACTAATAATAAGTGTTGCCTTTAATTTAATCAATAAAATAAATTGACTTCATTAATGTTTTTGAACCACCTCTTAAGAAAATCTAAAAAATATGAATGGAATGATATATCACAAGTACAAACTCATCATATTTTTTGCATTTTAGATAGGATTTATTCAGCAAAATTTAAGGGTGACGTCGTCAATTTTTTTAGGAGGGATGAACAAATACATTTTGAACAAAAGTTTACCATGCTTATAATAACTTTAAAATATTCCCAAGATTTCAAAGCATTCGGTTTTGTAATTCCTGATTAAATCGATAAAATAAATTCACGCCTTCATTAATTTTTTTGAGTCACCCTGCATATGCAAATCCAAAAATATGAATGGAATGATAAATCACAAGTACAGACTCATCATATTTTGTACATTTTAGATACGATTTATTCGGCAAACTTTTGAGCTGACGTCATCAGTTTTTTGTAGAAGATAACCAAATATATTTTGACTAAAAATTTATTATGCTCTTTATAACCTTAAAACATCTGCAAGATTTCAAAGCATTCGGTTTTGTAGTTCCTGATTAAATCAATAAAATAAATTTACGCATTCATTAATTTTTTTGAGTCACCCTGTATATGCAAATCAAAAAAAATTGAATGGAATGATAAATCACAAGAAGAGACTCACCATATTTTGTACATTTTAGATAGGATTTATTCAGCAAAATTTTGTGGTGACGTCATAAATTTTTTAGGGGGGACGACCAAATACATTTTGATCAAAAATTTACCATGCTTATGATAATTTTAAAATATCTTCAAGATTTCGAAGCATTCGGTTTTGTAGTTCCTGAGTAAATCAGTAAAATAAATTTACGCTTTCATTTATTTTCTTGAATCATCCTGTATATGCAAATCCAAAAAATATGAATGGAGTGATAGATCACAAGTACAGACTGATCATATTTTGTACATTTTAGATATGATTTATTCCGCAAATTTTCGAGCTGACGTCATCAAGTTTTTGGAGGGGATAAGCAAATATATTTTGACTAAACATTTATTATGCTCTTTATAACCTTAAAACATCTGCAAGATGTCAGAGCATTCCGTTTTGTAGTTCCTGATTAAATCAATAAAATATATTTACGCATTCATTAATTTTTTTGAGTCACTCTGTATATGCAAATCCAAAAAATATGAATGGAATGATAAATGACAAGTACAGACTCATCATATTTTGTACATTTTAGATATGATTTATTCCGCAAACTTTCGAGCTGACGTCATCAATTTTTTGGAGGGGATAAGCAAATATATTTTGACTAAACATTTATTATGCTCTTTATAACCTTAAAACATCTGCAAGATTTCAAAGCATTCGGTTTTGTAGTTTCTGAGTAAATCAGTAAAATAAATTTACGCATTCATTAATTTTTTTGAGTCACCCTGTATATGCAAATCCAAAAAATATGAATGGAGTGATAGATCACAAGTACAGACTCATTATATTTTGTACATTTTAGATATGATTTATTCCACAAACTTTTGAGCTGACGTCATCAAGTTTTTGGAGGGGATAAGCAAATATTTTTTAACTAAAAATTTATTATGCTCTTTATAGCCTTAAAACATCTGCAACATTTCAAAGCAGATTAAAAATTAAATTTCAAAATGTTGTTTTATAATTTTGATTTTTTTTCCAAAAATCTGGACGTTTCGGGTGAAAAGTCGATTCAGAGTTGTAAACTACATGTGTAGGACTATGTTATTTTATACAATTGAAAACCCATTTACTATGTACAATTTTGAAGTGACGTCATCGCATTACTGGTGGGGATGATTAGACAAATTTTGGTTAGCGTTTTACCATTTACATGATATTCTTAATATAAGTACAAAATTTCACAACAATCGGTCGAGTACTTTCGGAGATTATCTGTCTAATAAAAATCCGGGACGGCAGACGGACGGACAGACGGACGGACAGACGGACAGACGGACAGACGGACAGACGGACAGACGGACAGACGGACAGACAGACGGAAATGGGAGACCTATTTCTTCGTCTTCTAGGGGTCATGAAAGATCGAGAAAACGTAAAAGTAGAAAGTCGGCCGACGGACTCGATTACAATACTTCCTTTGCTTATGCTCGGGAAGTAAAAATGGAACCTGCCAGTCAGTAATTTTAATTTTAATCTATAATCTGCATCAATCTGTCTTGTGTAATTATAGTCATGAACAACCATAGGATAGATATGACAAGTAAAGTTTTCATAAAATTTTATTTAATTGTAAAATGTTATAGACAGTCTGATGAAGGGTTTCTAAAGCCCGAAACTGGTAACGTAAATTTAAATACAAGTGGAGAAAAAAAAACGTCTTTCATTAAATAAACCAAAATAAAGCACAACCAGAAGGGAATAACATAACTTCAAAAATATAAAAAATAAATGCTCTTCGTCTTCATTTAGGAGCAATGGCCGGAAACTCTTTAAAAAATTTGTGCAGTAAGTGTCTTATTCGCAATTTGACCGACCTTGGACTGAATTATGTATTGTATTATTGACTTATTTTATATTTGTTTGACTTTTCTACTTTTCTAATCCAAGAAAAAATAGAACATTATTGGAAGAAAACTGACTATGAATTTTTTGGAGGGCATAAACAAAAAATGAAGATGTCGTCTCAAAATTTTGCCAAATAAATCATGTCTAAAATGTACAACGTACAATATAAGGAGTCTATACTTGTGATATATCATTGCATTCATGTTTTTTAAATTTTCCTAGACAGGGTGACTCAAAGAAATTAATGAATGAGTCAATTTATTTTATTGATTAAATCAAGAATTCCAAAACAGAATGCTTTGGGAACTTGCAGACGTTGTAACTTTATCTTAAGTATGTTGTATAAAATGTTGATGACGTCATCACAAAAGACTTTGTAAAAAAATCATTTGAAACATACGTGTAGCACGCTTCTTTACATTTACTTTCACATTACAACATATCTTTACGTTAACTTACAGGGAAAAAAAATTGCATAATCAAATTTTATGATTTTTTGAAAAAGCTGGATGTTTCATTGTGTTTCATTCCTCTCAAAATCACCCTCAACCAATTTTTATATTAACAAAATCTGTTCCAATTTCAAAATGCTAAGAAATATTTTTTGCATTCAAAAAATTAACCAAGTTATCAAACAGTCAGAAACAATAATAAATTTTACGCCGTCTCCATTTCCTGTTCTTAGTTTATGGTATTTTAGAATAAAATCGAATCCTCAAACCTCTTTATAGCAGAGAAGCCGTTAACAATCCACTGTTGTCTTTGACATTGATTTCACGCATGAGGCAAATTATTTTATTAACCAAATCAAGAACACGTGTAGTTTATGAATCCGTTGAGTTTTTATCCGAAACTGATATCCCTATTTGGAAAAAGTGTTTAACTGTGAAGGCCCTTGTTAAATGCATATGGTCTGTATAAAATCCGGCAAACACATTTCGGCCATCATTTTCATTTAAGTTGTTTCGTTAACAGATAAAATATTGAAACTTCCAAGAGTAGGTAGCCATAACAATTTTTGATAAATTAATGTCAAAAAATAAGATAACGTAACCAGTCACTTTTCTCAAAGCTAAATTGATCTACGGCGATTTAAAATTTGCGCTGATTTTTTGTCCCCACACCCATATGTGGCATTTTACTTTTGTTTAAGTACTTATAATTTTGTAAATTTCGCTGCTCTAAAACTGCAATAATTTAACAATAACTGTACAATATTTTTTATATGTATAAGCTATAACAAAATGTCTCAATAACCGATTTTGAGGTTGGTTTTTGATGTAAGAATTAGTAAATCACATGTACATAACTATTTGTATCTTTGGATACCTAAAAAAAAATTGTTTTTTAATTATTTTTTTCGAAATCATAAATGATCAGAACAATTTAAATTTTTAATTTTAGTGCAGTTTTAAATTTGTAAAACATTGCAGTTGTGTCTTTTTATTTTTAGATTCTTCGAACATCATGGTCATATTTTGCTGTACTTCATCAAGTCAACTTGCGAAAATCCTGAAGAACTGAAAGAATATTTTTATGTGTTGCAAGCACAGCAAATCTGGCATCACCCACAGTTATCCAAAACCGAAAAGCTCTTGAAATTAGTTCTAACAATGACTATAGTGACCGACCACTTCACGTATTATACACAAACATTTTATAACGCAGAGTTTACTATACTGAAAAAAATGTTATCATTATGATAGTAATTATCAAAGTGATTATTTGTAGAACAGTATTATGTAGTGAGTTTTTGAAGTCGTATTATAAACTTGTATCTGTAAGTTCCTATGAGGAAAAATGGTAATTTTTGTTAGACGAGAAAGAGCAGTCTAAATTTAGACTTTCCAGTGTAGTAAACCAGATTGCACAGCTGAATTTTTCGATAATGCCTGTTTTGCACCAAATTGGTACAACAAATTAATGCTATCACTTCTTCATTTTTATTCAATCTGGTGGTCTACCGTAGACAGAAAGTAAGAACCGTATTTCCGTTGCAGTCTTCATTTTAAACATACCAGCACACAAAAGGCTGTTGACAAGATCTTTGTAATGTTCATTTATCTAACAATGGTTGATGATAAAGACAGTCTTACTACACATGTTAATATTACTATAAAGTCATTCAGTCATTCAAATGAATTATTGAGACAACATTTTAAAAATTCTATTGATATGGACCAGTTTCAATATGAAATATCCACACAGTATAAACTTAGATAACACTTGTGTGAAGTGCTTTCCAACCAGAAAACAACTTATGACATTATTTGATAGCTGAAAATTTGGTTTTGAGATATGGAACCATTTTAACAGTTCTAACTATAGGACACCGCATAAACACACCGTTTCCTACTTCGAAAAATAGGGAAATTCGTGTTTCTCGTATAATATAATAATAATCTATAAAGTAAGCAACAGACTATTTTGAAACTTTAACTTTTTTAGAGATTATGGTTACTGTAATAAGATGAGAAATCCTTAACCAATTTTTTTAACTTAGTTAAAAATGTCTCTCAAAATATTTTAAAGTAAATTTCATCTGAAATGTCCAGTATATTTCTGCTGGTCCAAAGTTATTTAGATAGAATTTTCCTCACCTTTGAAAGACAACCTATTCTGCATTAAACTTCATGTCTTTCTGCGTCTCGCAGTTTCCAAGACTTTCATTTATTATGTATTTGTGAGGACAAAGTATACTTAGAATGTGCTGGGCATATTTCAGGCTTTGTATTTATAAATGAATGAAAGAAAGGTTTTTCTTAATTTATTAATTTATTTTTATTGCGAATCATATAAAGTGAACTAAACCACGACGAGAGGTGCAGAGTAAGGACTATATCCAGCAGCATAAATTGATGGGGCGACGTATCCAGCGGAGTATGCGGAGTAGGCTAAAGGCGCTGCGTATGAAGCGGAATAAGTTACTGCAGGTGCGGCGACAACCGGAGCGGTGTAAGCTGCGGCTACGATTCCGGGTTCAGCTTTGGCACTGGGCTTTGGCTCTGGAGCGCTCAATACAGCGCCAATCAAAGCAAGGCAGACGACCTAATTGAAATATTATTTGAACGATAAACTTTAATAAATATCACATTGTTTATGATTAAGATTACGCAGGGTTTAAAATTAGTACTTACAAGTTTGAACATTTTGATTTGTTTCTTTGTTACTGGACGGTACCAAACAACTGTTGATTTACACAGTTCGTAAATTGTATTTATACTAAACAGTTTCGCCACATTATGGTGTGGTCAAGTTGTCTTGTAAGTGGGTTGAATTTTAAGTATGCTTAAACTTATTTAAATTGGTGCAACATACATACATAGGAATAAATACTAAACAGGCAAGATCTTGCAGATTAGACGTGTATTTTCCATGTGACGTCAGTCACTTCTTCAAATTATACTTTACCTTGCAAATTTCATTAATGAAAGTATATAATAATCACACACACATACATGTATTTTATTTTTGAAATTGTGCACTTAATACTTGTTAAAGGAATGCTACTAGAAACTTGAAAAATAAGTAACATTAAATTTGCCCTGATAAATTTTCAAACAGATTATATTAATTTATTATTTACATACATATTTTTAAACCATAATATACAGATGGTTAAGAAATAGCACATTAACTCTATTTCACGTTTTTCAATATATGTCCTTAAATCGATACTTTGTTTTTGTAAATGAACGTTACATTGACGTAAGGATTAATGATTTTTCTGGAGATTATACTTTTGAGCTTAATAATATAGCGTTGAGTGAGAGTGAGCCATTTTTGAATCAGGCTGTATTTATTTCTCATTTTTTTTTTATAACTGATAATAATTTAACTTTTCGTGTATTATTCTGATTCTCTAATTTAAAAACTATCAGGCTTTTACTAAAGAAACAGAAAGTTTCAAATACGACAGAGTGACTTTCGAACTTTAAAATATCCTTCATGTAAAAAACGATTGTAATTATCAACATCTCCTGTACATTAAATAATTGGTGAGCCCTTAAAAAATATGTAAATTGTAATTTTGTAATATGTACTCCTACATAAACTGTTTCTCGGCAATGAATAAAATATTTGCCGTAGAATAAATATAAATTCTTGTTTATTATTAGGATCTTCTTCGGAAATCGTACCAGCGCATTCTTCTTCCTGCAAAGTAGTGCCTTTCGCAGACTGTTGTAGTTTTTAAACATTTTATTTTACATAAAAAACTTTAATAAACATATAACATACATTTATGTACGTGAAATATAGTTAGCAATTCTTCACAATGTTGCAACGTGCTACTTTATTCTAGTGTCACATTATTAAGTTTCGAAAGATCTCCCTGTAATGAAATAGCTGACATGCAGATGGAAAACAAACCGAAAGGAATCGGTAACCTGCATTTCCACATATACTTAAATAAATGTAAAAATAAAATGAAATAAGTATATTCGAATTACGCCGACTCTATAATAAACAAGAACAAAGACAAAAATCAATTCTTCTTAACATAATCACAGTGAAATAAGCAACCTTCTTTAGGTTTCAAATTTGAAAATATTTAATAGGAGTATTACGCAATACAAAAATTTTTCTTTTACATGTTGGCGAATTAGAATTACAGATACACCGTCAACTTTTTATTAACCGCATGCATAATTAATTGTAACAATAGATCGATTAATTTGCATTACAATTAGGTTACACCTCAGATAACATTTTTTTATAAACAATTTGTTCCGGTTCGAAGTTTGTTTAATATTTTGTTTTGATTTTGTTTGTTTTCCCGCGGATTGCTGACAAGTGTATTTTGGTCACTTTCCACTAGAGGCGCCATAGTACCGAGCAAAAGGGCCCGGTACTTGGGGTTGGCGCTGTTATCGAAGAGAGTTATCGAGAAACCCTCAGAGAGGTAACATCGCTAAGGTGGGCGTTAAGTGAACGCAATTGCCATCTTGTGTGACGTAAATCGCGAATATTCTCGCGAAACTTAGACACGTGGGTCCTTTGTGCATGCGGTCTACAAACCCTCAACCCAGGAGGCTGAACAAAACAAGGTAGGTGACCTTTTGATGCGTTTGTCAGCTTCGATCCAAATTTTAATATATTTTTTTTGGAATTGTAAAATCGCCGCGAAAAAAAAGGTGTTTTCAAAGCCTTTACGTCCAACAAATGGTCCTTCGAGCCGGATTTAGGGTAATTACGAGAGATTTGTAGATTCCAGCACAAATTTGTTGTAGTTTTGCTAAGCGTGATTAGCACGCATTTTCATTTGATTTTCAAGTTATCGAAATACTTAAATTCGAGCTTACATAATGGCTACCGTCGCCGCGCTAAGTAATGGACGCGCTAGTTTGATCAAACGCGTGGAGGCTTTAGTGAATCTATCGCAACAAGCCAGAGTCCACGAAACTGTACGAGGAGAGTTTTTTATTCGAGCTGCGGACTTAAACCATATTGTTGCCCAGTTTGAGCAGCGACAGTTGCAAATTGTCGAATTATGCACCACCCCTGAGGAGCTAGACGAACAATACGAGGTGCAATCAAGATTTGACGATATGCAGTATTCAATTAAATCGGTTGCAGCGGAATTAAATCGCGAGGCCGCGCAGTCATCCGCACCCAGGGGCAATTTAACATCAAACAACGTCAAATTGCCCAAAATTCAAATTCCGACGTTTGACGGTCAGATCAAAAACTGGCCCACATTTTATGATTTGTTTCGGTCGCTTATCCACAATAACCCAAATCTTAGCGCAATTGAAAAATTTCAATATCTGTCGACGTCATTGTCTCGCGAGGCGTCTACCGTCATCAAGAATTTGCCGATTTCGGCGGCAAATTATGCTATCGCATTCGATGCGCTGGTGGCGCGTTACAACAATAAGCGCGTATTATTGACAAATTATTGGCAAGCGATCTATAGTGCACCCAAAGTGAGTGGAGATTCGCCGAGTTTGTTGCGAAATTTGTTAAACGTGTTTTCTGAAAATTTGGCCGCGTTGAAGCAGTACGATGAAGTCGATTTGTGGGACTTCACGTTATTAAATTTAATGTTGCAAAAACTGGACACCACGTGGAAACAGAAATTTGAATTGAGTATTGTAGGAAATTCCGTGCCTGCTTACAATGACCTCCAAGAATTTTTGCTTAAACATTGTACCGCGCTGGAAACTTCCGTTATGACAATGGGTCATAATTCCGCATCCGCCCTTCATAAACCCACAGCTGCATCTTTCGTACCTGCTAAGCGTCCCGTGACGTCATCGTTTGTCACACGATCACCAATCAGCAAGGAACAATGTCTTAATTGTTCGGATGAGCACCCATTAACGAAATGCGATGCTTTCTTAGAAATGGAACCACGGGATAGACATACTTTCGCGCGTAAGAAAAATTTATGTTACAATTGTTTGTCGAGGGTGCATTCGGTTAGCAAATGTCCGTCTAAATTAAACTGCCGGGTTTGTGATTATAGACATCACACGTTGTTACATTTTGTCCCCAAACCTAGCGCCGAGCCGG